AATCGGCTTAAAAAATTACGACTCCTAGTACATTGTTTTTAGTGATTTTAATTCTATTTTAAGTGGAAACCTATCAAAAACTAGTAAATTTTAAAATTTTGGGAAAAATGGGCCATTTTAAGTTGAAAAATCTATATTTTTTGTATTTTTTTCATCAAAATCTGTGAAATTTTCACGTGTAGACACACTAAAAACAGTTTATAAACATTTGACAATGCTTAAGAAGAAAAATTTGGTCCCCCCACTGATAATGCAAAAACTCCCGATATTCCTGTGCAATTTATCTTTTTCCAAACTTTTTTGGGGCACACGTAGCGCGTGTCCGTGACTTTAGCCGTGGGTGCAACTCGATACCCCTCCGGGGCGAGCTTTAGCCAGAAGCAGCATTGTAATGGACTCTCGTTTATCTATAGGATCCGCCCGGCTCCTCGGCCGTGTCACCGAAGACCCTCGAAAATCTGGCGGGACCGTCGCGAGCCGAGGATTCGCAGGTTTTTCTTAAAAAACTGTTAAAATAGTTTTATAAAAACTTAAAACGTATTTTTTCCTTAAAAACCGGTTGGTAGATTCGAAAAACAGCAAAAGTAGCGATATAAATAAAAAGAAACTCTCTGAAATCATTAAATCTTTAGGTGTGCGCGATTTGCGGGGACAAGGCGACCGGCAAGCACTATGGCGCCATTTCGTGCGACGGTTGTAAAGGTATGTGGGTTATAAAGTAGTAATTGGAGTGACTAGACATAGCTAGTAGTGATGCAGGTCAAATTGAGGTTTTGCAACTAGCGCGTAGGAGAGCGGCGTAGAAAGGAGCCAGGCGTAGGCGGTTATGGAAACGCTAGGTTCCTATGCACGCGTTGAGGCTGAGCGCTCAGCGACGTCGCGGATTTACATTGCGTAATGCGTAAGTTTTCTTTTTTGCCATCATTTTATCCTCGGTAGCGCGTGAAGTACGTTTTTTACTACTTTACACAGCGTAAGATGTAGCAGTTCTTTGATTACCTAGCATAATTTGTCATTTTTATTCCTTTACCGAGCGCGTTGTATGGTTTTTTTACAGAATTTGCCAAATTTCGTCATGACATAGCGTCATCGAGACCTTTTCCAGGTTTCTTTCGTCGCACCGTCCGGAAGCGGCACAACTACAGCTGTCGCTTCAAGCGGATGTGTATTGTTGATAAAGGTTGGTACTGGTTTTGAGGTATCTAACGTAATAAAACTATTTATAAAATTCTAGCCGTATCTAAAAGTAGAAGACAAAGTTTTTTCAGATCACCGAAACACCTGTCGAAGATGTCGATACGATGTTTGTATGAGGATGGGAATGAAAACGGAGGCCGTTCAGGTGGGTGTACTGTATCAGGGTCAAGGTATAGGCATCCTTTATTACTGCCCGGCAAGACAAAAAGCGATGCACATAGGAATGGGGCGGAATTAGGGGGCTGGTCAGTCGGTGATGGCAGTCGTCGCGTCGGGCTAGTCCTTCTTCAGCGAGGCGGCGTTGCTCGCCGAGCCCTGGGCCGAGCCTTGCTTGGCCAGCCACCTGTAGATGAACATTGATAAAATCTAGTGTGCCATGTTACTTGTCGAACTCGGTGATGGCCGGGTCGATGAACCGGGTGTAGAGGTAGGAGGCGCCGCGCGTTTGCGGCAAGTACAAGTAGAGCAGGAAGAGCACCTAGCGCATGCTGTACTTACTGAACTTGACGGCAAACCTTGACGACAAAATAGAAGGGGAAGATGGACAGGATGCCGTCGGTGAAGAAGTCGATGATGGAGAAGAAGGCGAACACGGTCCAGTAGATCAGCCACTGCGTGTCGTCGTCTTTCGACGACGTGCGGATGGCCTGGAGATGTTCAAGGTTGGGTACAGCTTGATTTTGATACCTTGACGGAGGCGTAGGCCGGGTAGGCGAAGCCGATCAGGTTGCACACAAACTGGGCCAACGCCCCGAAGATGAGGTAGAGGCCGAGGACGGCGAAGAGGCCGTAGGCAGCCTTGAATGGAAAATGACAAAACTGTACTTTGGAACTGACCTGCTCGCGCTTGAGGCCGGTGTTGGCTTCGAGGGCCTTGCACGCCTTGTCATACGTCTCACCCTTGGGCTCGTAGAGGAAGGTGATCAGGTCGGACTGGAAGTGACATTTTGTAGGTTACTGTAGATAGAGTAGATTCTAGCGGGGTTTCTTATCCCGTGAACTTCTCAAAGATTTCTGCTAGCTGACCATGGTGCATAGGTTGATGCCCAAGCTTAAACTTAAGCCTAAGCCCACGTCCAAGCCCAAGCCAAAGCCTAAGCCTGCGCCTAAGCCTAAGCCAAGTCAAGTAAGCAGCCCCTTAAAATTGAAAACCAACATGAGTCGGCACTTGCAACCCAAACAACTCCAGCGGCATAATTTACGAGCCCTCGAGAGTGAATCGGATTTGTTCCGGTGAATCGACAGGTGGAAAAGCGTGAAGTGGAAGCGATATCGGCCAAGCCAGAGGGGAGAAGACCCCCCCTTCGGCACCGGCCAATGGATCGATGCGGAACGGACAGATAGAAAGACAGACAGACAGACTGGCTTGAATACAGGCTCGCCGCTTGTTTGGCAATAATATTCGGGAAAGGGCGCGAGGCGGCGGTTTTTTCTTGCTATCGAATGACAAAGGAAAGGGGAGGAAAAGTGGTGAACCGAGAAAATGCAGGTTGAGGTGGGTGGAGAGGGCAGGCTAGCAGAGATTATTAAGAAAGCGAGGGCAGGCTAGCAGAGAGCATTGAGGAAGTGATGGCAGGTTAGCAGAGATCATTGAGGAAGCGATGGCTGGCAAGCAGATAATTAATTTGCATAAACCCACATGGGCAGCCTGAATATCATCCTTCGGGTTCCGGTCAGCGTCCTTCTTTGCGTCAGCCATTGTCGATGGGGGGGGGTATTGGGGAAGTGATGAATATGATGTTTGAGCTCCAGAAAATGAAAAATTCTAGGATACGTCTCATGCTAAAATATGCAAATTGACTATGCATTGTACGAAGTCAAAACCTCTAAAATTCAGATCGAGCGTGACCGCATCGCCAAGCCATCACCGACAGCCACCACTGTAGCCGAGGAACCGCTTTTAGAAGAACTTCTCCAAGCCGAAGCAGCGGTTAGACAACTACGCTCGAGCGTCATTACCAGGTTCCGATTTCTTTTCCGGAAATAATATTTTTTTTCAGGACGTCTGATGCTAGACGAGGAGAAGCCACGACCATTGATGTAACTGATAGGTATAAATTTTCCGGATTCTAGTAATTTTTTTGCCATTACAGTATGCACCAACAGCTCGTGCTCATGGTGGAGTGGGCCAAGAGATTGGTGTCATTTTCTAAATTACCGATGCGGACGCAGGTCGGGTTATTACGGTAAGTACGGACATCTAAGCCGAAGCCCAATCCTAATCTAAACCTAAGCTTAAGCCTGTCCCTAAGTCTAAGTCGCCTAGGCTTGGACTTAGCCTTAGGCTTGGGCAGGGGCTTAGACTCAGGCTTTGTTTAGGCTTATGCGTAGGCTTAGGCTTGGAATAGGCTTAGAAGCTTACCTACGCATAAGCCTACGCAAAGCCTAAACAATGCCTAAGTCTAAGCCCCTGCCTAAGTCCAAGCCTAATCCTAAGCCTGAGCCTAAGTCTAAACCTAGGCATATGCTTAAGCCTTGGCTTAAGTGCAAATAAACCTAAGCAAAAGATCAAACTTAAGCCTAAGCCCAAACCTAACCCCACGATTTCAGCCACTTCTCCGCCCAACACCTCGTCATGTGCGCGGCATTCCGCTCGATCCACCTTGACGACGCCGTGTGGCTGACCAACGAGACACGACTCCATAAGAACTCCACAAAAGTGCCAGACGTCAAGTAAAGCGCTTAAGCGATACCTTATAGCGTTATTTTGTATTTAGCCGTGTAGCCGCCCGGATCGTCGATCAATTAACGGTACCGATGCGGCGGCTTCAGATGAACGAGATCGAATACTGCGCCTTGAAGGCGGTCGCTTTCTTTGATCCAAGTGAGGAGATCTTAAAACCGAAAGGTGATACCTTAATTTATAGTCGCAAAAGGGGTGGACGATTCCTACGAAGAGGTGGATTTGTCGCGGCAGGAGGTAAGGGTCGTACACTTCAGTGGTTCATCTACCGTACCTCGGCTGCCCATAAAGCTATTGGGCCGTAAGGTATACCAAAATACTCGCCGAATGAAGACGAACATTTTGGCATACCTTACAACTCGATAGGTTAATGAGGAGCCGAGATATAATAGCGAAAATGGGTTCTTTCACATTATCGGGGGGGGCGACAATTTTTTTTGTGGTAATCTAAAAATATCTAGTAACTTATTAGGAATAACTTCCATAAATGTTTCAGTAAAATAAACTATATTTGAACCAGAACAACTTTCTAAAACCTTTAAAAAATTTTCGAAAGTCGAAATTTTGGTAAAAACGGCCATTTTTAGTCGAAAAAACTATTCGTTTTTTGTATTTTTCCAATAAAAATTGCTAAAGTCGTTACGTTTCTGGATAGTAAAAAGCAGTTTAGAAACACTTCCGGTGTTTTTGATTTTAAATAATCGGTTCCTAATAAAATTTCTTCCCCCTCCCCCGATAATGCGACAAAACCAAAAAATCTGACCCAAGCATTACGCTCATTTCAGGTGCTCGACGCCTTCGAGCGGTACGTCAGATTTGTATCTCCGCTGCGAGAGGTCCCGCGAAGACTCTCACAACTGCTGCTCCTTCTCCCTCCGGTGCTCGGCATCGCGCGCGACCTTGTCGAAGACGTGCAGCTGGCAAAGCTGTTTGGGCTCGCTTCGATCGACAGGTGGGCTGGCTGGCGAAGATTTTCGGGGGAATTAATGCTAAACTTTTCAAAAATAAAAAGCTGATTAAATAGGAATTTCTATCAGAATATCGAAATTCTGTAATGTCAAAAATGCATAATGCCGACGTTTCGACGTGTCGAGGTTTACTACGTAAAAATTTACGGAAAAATCCCCTATTCTATGCAAAATATGACTTATTTTCAATTTGTCGAATTATCATTCTGTCGAAATTGCCTTTTCGCGTCGATTGTGATCAAAATGCCTTTTCGACAAGATGAAATTACGACAAAAGGATACGCAAAATAATTCAACATTACTAAGTTTCGACACTATAAAATTTCGTTATTCTGAGTTTCGATCTGTTGAAAAGTCCAAAAAACTTTACAAATCAAAATTTTATTTTCAGACTGATGGCCGAGCTGATGCTCCCCGGCGAGAACCACCATAACGAGGAGAAAATGGAGGACGGGAGCCCGCTCTATAGCCCCGCGCCCAGCATCCATGTCCACACCTCCGAAGCCCCAGCTAGCTGATTAGCTCACTTTTTTCGTGGCCCAAATCTGCATTTTCAACTTCAGTTACCGCACAGATACTTTGACCAAATTTCTATCAGTTCCATGACTTTCCACTTGACGTCGTTAGTTGCCCTTCGTAGCTGTGTCATACTTCCCGCCTTGTGATTACAGTACTCTGGCCATTTCATTTATTTGCGCTGCCTGTCCTTCCACGACGATACGTGTACACGCCCGTAAACTCAGCCGTGATACCCTGCATCTTGACCACGACTAACCTCCACCATTTTCGCCAACTTCCTCATTTTTGCCCGCTTTTAACAAGAAAATAAAAAAGATTTTCATTTACGGCGATCGTTTATACAATCGACTTCGGGCAACAAATTCAAGCAGTTCAGGCCACAAAATATAAAGTTTGGAAAACAAATTCAAAGAGTTTGGAAAACAAAATAGAAAGTTTGGAAAACAAATTCAAGGAGTTTGGAAAACAAAATAGAAAGTTTGGAAAACAAATTCAAAGAGTTTGGAAAACAAAATAGAAAGTTTGGAAAACAAATTCAAGGAGTTTGGAAAACAAAATAGAAAGTTTGGAAAACAAATTCAAGGAGTTTGGAAAACAAAATAGAAAGTTTGGAAAACAAAATAGAAAGTTTGGAAAACAAATTCAAGCAGTTCGGGCAACACAATAGAAAGTTTGGAAAACAAATTCAAGGAGTTTGGAAAACAAAATAGAAAGTTTGAAAAACAAATTCAAGGAGTTTGGAAAACAAAATAGAAACTTTGGAAAACAAATTCAAAGAGTTTGGTAAACAAAATAGAAAGTTTGGAAAACAAATTCAAGCAGTTCGGGCAACAAAATAGAAAGTTTGGAAAACAAATTCAAAGAGTTTGGAAAACAAAATAGAAAGTTTGGAAAACAAATTCAAAGATTTTGGAAAACAAAATAGAAAGTTTGGAAAACAAATTCAAAGAGTTTGGAAAACAAAATAGAAAGTTTGGAAAACAAATTCAAAGAGTTTGGAAAACAAGTCAAAGAGTTTGGAAAACAAAATAGTAAGTTTGGAAAACAAATTCAAAGAGTTTGGAAAACAAAATAGAAAGTTTGGAAAACAAATTCAAGCAGTTCGGGCAACAAAATAGAGCGTCGGGCAACAAAATCAAGCAGCTCGGTCAACAAAATAGAAAGCTTGGAAAACAAAACAGAAAGTTTGGAAAACAACTCCAAGCAGTTCGGGCAACAAGCCATGGCATTTTCAAAAATTGTCGCGCACGCTGCTCGCTCTCCCGTTTGCGGTTTCTAGCCAGGTCGGATTAGGTTGGTGAATTAGCAAGTGGATGAAGAATTGCCGGAAGTTGCTCATAAAACGCATAGAATCTCACATATAATTGTTCTTAAAGCGCACGTTCAGGGAGGGGCCGTATACTCTTCCCAACGTATACACCCTATGGACGTGGGGACCGTGCGCACGGCCTGCCCGTGCTGTGACAGGCCATTCCCCTCCTTTGCGGCGTGGGGGCGCCCTCGCCCCCTCGCCAGGTTGTAGCTGTGGCTGACTGGTATCCATCCGCGCCTCCCGAGCGGGCGGCCCGGGTTCGACCCCCGGCTGCGGCGAAAATATTTGCTTTTTTCCAAAAAAACGTCCCTGAACGTGCCCTTTAAAGACTACCAGAACGATGGAACGCGCACTGTCACCCCGAGGGTGCTGCCCCCAAGAACGCGCGGAGAGATGCGTCATTAGTGGTGCCCCGTACTGGGCAAATGCCCCTGGGGTTTGTGGCGTCTCTGACTCCCTTCCCCACTTGGCCCTGTGGTGTAGTGGCTAGCGCGTCGGACTGTGGAGCGAACCATCGCGGGTTCGGCTCCCGCCCGGTGCGCAACTTTCTTGCTCTCAACGGAATTTCATCGTTCTGACGGTCTTTAACCATTACTAACTAACTTCTTGTTTCCTTTACTAACCAGAATAATTGACTGCAATGACTTTGGTAAGCTTGAGTACTTTTTTACTTTACTGCGTACTTTTTGCAGGATCACAATGACGTGTATTCTACCGCTGAACGCCTGTATGACGATCTCTGCAAGCTGCGAACGACCGAGGACAAGATCGGCGCGCGTAACCGTATGGAGGTACGTTTTCGGTTGCGGGTTTCTGAACTTTCGGTTCGAACGGTGGTTTCGGGTTGTTGGGAAGGTCCACTTTGTTTCCTTAGGTACCGGAATATCACCTAGATAGTTATTTACTCGACGGACCTTTTTCTCGCCTTGTTTTTTTGAAAGAATAAAAGGCCATCCGCGAGTCACTCGAACAGGCTCTAATATGTCTTGGCACAGTTTTTTTCGGAGCTATTTTTTGACGCCATCTGAAAGAGCATGGTCGAATTAGTAGGGTGGCACTATTTTGAGAATTTTAAAAGTTTAATTTCGGGGTTAAATCGGCCGTTAAAGTTGCCGATGTCAAAAAATTATCTCGAACGTGACTTGAGGTAATTTGTTAAAAATTGGTGTGTATGCCTAATTTTGGACGCTGATCATTTCTCTAATACATCGCGAAACACAGAAATGAGCGGAACATGGTTAAATCACGTACTCGAGATGGTTTTCCCGGAATCCATAAAAAACGGCCTTTTCTGCGCTCCATGAAAGTAACGTAGAAAGGTGCGCCATATTTTTACGTCGATTCATGTCGTTTACCCGGAAACCAGCTCCCCTCCTCTTGCTAGAACGCGTTTTATCCGCCAAAACGCGCCAAAAATGGCCCCCAAAAATACAAAATCTCCGATTTGGAAAAATAAAGACAACAGATCGCATCTAGAAGACGAGCTGAAGCGATTGCAAAAAAGAGCAAAAATAAATTCGGCTTCTGAGAGGGGGCTGGGATTGAACCCGCGCCGGCTCCGGATTGGCACGCCGACGCTCTACTCATTGCGCCACGGGGCTCCCAGGCGGAGGGTCCGGGTTCGATTCCGCGACATTGAAATAAGGCTAATTTCTTTTTGCTCTTTTTTGCAATCGCTTCAGCTCGTCTTCTAGGTGCGATCTGTTGTCTTTACTTTTCCAAATCGGAGATTTTTTTATTTTGGGGGCCATTTTTGGCGCGTTTTTGGCGGATAAACGCGTTCTAGCAAGAGGAGGGAGCTGGTTTCCGGGTAAACGACACATGAATCGACGTAAAAATATGGCGCACCTTTCTACGTTACTTTCGTGGAGCGCAGAAAGGCCTTTTTTATGGATGCCGGGAAACCATCTCGAGTACGTGATTTAACCATGTTCCGCTCATTTCCGTGTTTCGTGATGTATTAGAGAAATGATCGGCGTCCAAAATAGGCATACACACTATTTTACAACAAATTACCTCAAGTCACGTTCGAGATAATTTTTTGACATCGGCAACTTTAACGGCCGATTTAACCCCGAAATTAAACTTTTAAAATTCTCAAAATAGTGCCACTCTACTAATTCGACCACGCTCTTTCAGATGGCGTCAAAAAAATAGGGTCGAAAAAAACTGTGCTAAGCCTTGTTCGGGTGGCTCGCAAACGGCCTTATAAAGCGTGAGTACAGGCGGGGATAGAGCCGGAATGGTTCCCCGGCAAAGCCGGAGCGCAAAACTGCTCCGGCGAACACTATCTTATACCGTATTTGTCGAAAAGGACCATTGACTACCTCTTAGGATTTAAAGGGGCACCGAAAACAGCTGCACGGCGCCCTGCGTTGATGCCTGGCAAATAGCCAAATGCGACCGCAACCCGATGGCGCCGCATGCTCTTTTGCCCGTTTGGACGTGAAAACGCTTGGATTTCAAAATTGCGAATTTTGATCATTCCAGACTTTTTAATTATGAAAATTGACCAGAGAATCACCGAGATCGAGAGATTTGGTTCCTTACAAGGCATTACGACATGTAATCCCGGCGCGCTCCACAGCGGCCCGGCTCCTAATAAAACGTCCGGTAGCTGTGGAAAGGAAGGAAGACCGCAACGCGTGCGATAGACGCGTCGCGCAATTGCGAAAGCAGGGCTGCGCGGCTAAAACCCGGTTGATATTCCGCGCACCCGCACGCAACGCGTGAAAAACACGCACAGTACGCCCTTTCCCTTGAACCATCTGGATTGAACCCATGAGCGGTTATGGCTCAAAAAGGCTCCTTCCAATACTCTCTCCGTCTCCGAACTTTCGAAAGCCCCTGCTGATCTTTTCCAGCCCGATAAGCCCTCCGTTTTTAGGAAATGGTCTACTTTGCGTTGGCCAAGCGCAGCTGCAACCTATCAAGCCGCGAAGAATGGGACGTGATCAAGCGATGGAATGACTACGACAAGCAGATGATCGATGCCGGCGTTCGGCGCGAGCACCGTGCCCAGTCCGCCACCATCTTTGTGGGTTCGGGTTCGATTCGTGAAAATCACGGGCACTTCAATTTAAATAGCGGTCGGATTTGCAGTAGCCAGTTGAAAGAGCGTCTACAGGTTGCCCAAGATTATTAATTTAGAACAAAAAACGTAATTGAAAGGGTTTATATTCAAATTCTTGGAGCCCGAAAAGCACCTACAAATTGTTAATTTTATTTCCCGCTGAATTCAAAACTGGCGCTCCGTTAAAAAGCAATTTAGGAGCTGGACCTCACCGTTCGGCCCATCCACGTCGGGCAGTATAGCGAAGTTATCTGCGAGGAGATCAACTTGGCCCAATCGATCTGCAACAGCGACTACGCGCCACTTCAGCCGCTCGCCCTTCGAAGGGTAGGTCTCGAAAACCGACCTTTAAACCGGATTCAGGCCCTCGAGGCCTACGCTCGGACGGTCGCCACTCAGAATGCTGAAGAGCTAAAGGCGGCGGAGAAAGCGACGTCGATCGTTTACACAAAATGGAAAGCCGCAGTAATTTTATTTATTTTAACATTTCACATAGCATTTGACCAAAGTTTTTCTTATTGGCGCAAAAATGCCTATTTAGCTAATAGCACGTCTTTAATGCTTTTTTTGTAAATTGGCCGATATTTTAAAAAGCATATCTGTCTAAAGATCAATTGACTATAACAGTTTACTACAATTTCAGTGGGATGATTGCATGGCCGTCGTGAGGGAGCGGAAGCTGAGTGTCGCTGCCGTCCGGGCCGCCTTTGCAGATGATACCCAAGTTGACGAAGCGTCCATCGAATGGCCGCTCGTCGACATCTACCCGGTAGCTTAAAAAGCGTTTTAACCATTTGAAATAGAACAATTTTCACAAATCTAATAAATTTTCGAAAATATCGATATTTGGTCATTTTAGACCTAAAAAAATCAATCTCCCGCCGAAGACAAAATTCTTAAATAAAATTTGCAGTTTCAATGCCTAGAAATAGTTAAAACCCAAGTTCAAAACATGAGCTACTAAAAAAAATCCCTCTATGAATGTAAAAATATTACCGCTTTCTTCTTCTTCAGATGGAGGGTATCTTTACCTACCCGGACATGTGGAAGGAGGAGGAGGAGGCCGTCCAGAGCCCCGATGAGTCCGAAGAGGACGTGATCACCGACACCGAGCACGACGAGATGGACCACCAGCACGAACCGGACGGGATTGCGCTGAAGAAGAACACTGCGGAGGGCGAGCAGCCATACAACTACGACAACCAGCTGGGCCCTCGGGAGGCGACCTCCGAGGACGAGGTAGCCCCTAATGTCGGCTTAGTAAGGATAAAGACGTAAAATACTTTCTCTCCCCCACTTACCTGCAATCTTACAGGACCTCGTTCTCGACGGAGCTCAGGAGCCGAACCGGAAACAGGACAGCGACAACGACCTGCTGACGGCCGCGATCAAGGATGTGTGGGCGCGACTGGGCCCATATACCCACTAATTATTCTCGTTTAACTAATTCGAATCTCTGATATCTTTGAATCAACTCGCTGATGAATAAATCGTTATGCCACGGCCTATTTGTTGTGAACAACCTTGAATACCGCAGCAAAAGAAAAGCTTGAACGCGATCTTTGGGACTCGAAAGGAGTTTTTATAAAAAGGGCATTCGCTTTTCGCTTTCCGAACAAGGGCTAGATTCTTGTTGCAAAAAAAACTTTTCAACAGTTATTCTGCCAAAACTCGGGCCTCAAATGCCACAAATTCTGGGATTTGGTTTTGGCTCAGACAACGTGCGTCCCCTAAAATGGCGCGCTCAACTTACCTTCCTTGAACTGCTCAAAACGAATTCCAGTCATTTTTCCTAAAAATTATTTTTCCTAAATTCATTTTTCCTAAATTCATTTTTCCTAAAAATCATTTTTCCTAAAAGTCATTTTTCCTAAAAATCATTTTTCCTAAAGTTCATTTTTCCTAAAACCAGTTAAAGACTACCAGAACGATGGAACGCGCACTGTCACCCCGAGGGTGCTGCCCCCAAGAACGCGCGGAGAGATGCGTCATTAGTGGTGCCCCGTACTGGGCAAATGCCCCTGGGGTTTGTGGCGTCTCTGACTCCCTTCCCCACTTGGCCCTGTGGTGTAGTGGCTAGCGCGTCGGACTGTGGAGCGAACCATCGCGGGTTCGGCTCCCGCCCGGTGCGCAACTTTCTTGCTCTCAACGGAATTTCATCGTTCTGACGGTCTTTAAATACCGTAAAGGCCTAGTTCTTTAGTACTATGCATGAGAAAATAGAAAATTTTTTAGAATAAGGTCAGATCTGCCTAGAGTGATCATAGGAAGTATTTTAGTTGCGCGTTTAGCCTAGATTTGGGTGACTTTAGGAAAAATGATTTTTAGGAAAAATGACTTTTAGGAAAAATGATTTTTAGGGAAAATGACTTTTAGGAAAAATGATTTTTAGGAAAAATGAATTTAGGAAAAATGAATTTAGGAAAAATGATTTTTAGGAAAAATGAACATAACCCGCTCAAAACGGTTGCTGTTTCAGGCGCTTCCGCCAGCCGCGCGTGGAAAAGGGCGCCCGGGTGAGACGAAGGTAGCCCTGGTCACCCGCTTCAGTCCTCATTCAAAACGGCAGGAATCGCTATGCCGGCGCTGTCCGGAATCGGCCGGCATCCAGACGGTGACCACGCGCTACGGCCCGGCCCTTTGCCGCGAATGCGCGCAAGCTTTCCTGTTTATTTTCCTTCGGTCGCTTCCCGCGGCTTGGCCTCTAAAATTTTAAACTTTTAAAAGCTATTTCGCTACTCGTGATCTTCATAAATTACAACCTAAAAGATTAGAACGTACAAAGGGAACCAACTAGAAATTACCTTTTCCCAGAACTGGGGCCAGGGCATATCGTGGAACGGGTTCCAAGTAAGATTCTTCGTGACGGGACTTGAGCAAAAATGTCTTTTCTGCGTCGGCTTCATTTCATTTTTTGGTAATTTTGGGCTCAGCAAGGGTATAATATAATTAGATACCGCTTAGACGGGCAAACACCAACGCAGAACATAGCTGCCAGTGAACGCGCGTCGACTGAAAAACACATTTTACAGAAAAGTTTCGCCACTCTATATCAAGAAGCTGCCGGCCCACAGGACGCCCTGCAACAAGCGTCAGTGATCTGCGGCTTTCTCTAACTGACACAACCATTCAGGACGCTGCCTGGTCTGTACCTTTGACAGTCATTGGGCACCGATGGGTTTCCGCCCCTACGTCAGCAAGAAGAAATGACCTTTTACTGCCCCCACATTACTTAT